TTCAGCTGATATCTTATTCTTGTTGGGTCAGTCAAAATATAAAGCAAAGGTATATGGAAAGTAGAAAGACATTTTTTTCAGTGAAATATTTTGTTTATCCAGAAACCTACATACGTATGTACATACATATGTTTCAATATGTAATTAACTTACCTGTAGTGCTTTCCACATAACATACAGCGCCACTGTCACGTCGGGATATTTTGTGAAAGCTGTGCTGGCTAGCAGACCCGCTGGTATCGCAAAGCGCGGATCATCGCGACCAAAACTGTGCCGCAACGTACAGGAAACACCCTAGAGATAAGATTTCAAAAGTTTACAATTACATAAACGAAAATAATAATAATAAAAAGAATATCAAAAATTATACAAATACAGTGCCGGCCACTTGAATAAGCGCCCTCTTTTGATCTCTAGCATTGACGTTTTTCTTTTGTTTATTTAATTCAATTCGATTCAATAATTTTTTATAAAATTATAGCACAATATATAACAAAAATCATGTATGAAAATCGGATTTTCAAACTATACAAAATTTATAACTAAAAAAAAATTTATATAAAAATATCAAACTGAACTATTTTTTTATTATTTTCATTATTTTTTTACAAAAACGTAGCACATTATATAACAAAAATCATGTAAATCAGACTTTCAAACATTATTCAAAATTTATAATTTTTGAAAATATTTTAATGGAAATTTCACTTTTATTTAAAAAAATTTTTTTTTTTTATTAATTTTGTATAAAAATATAACAATTCAATAAATTTTCATAAAAATTTCAAACATAAAAATAATAGAATTTTCTTTTAAACATTTTTTTTAGTATACGATTCTATAACAAAAATTAGGTAAATCCGATTTTGAAACTTTACACAAAATTTATAATTTTTGCCAAAATTTTAATGAACATTTCAAACTTTAAAATATTTTTTTTGGGTTTTTTTGAGTATGCATTTTTATAACCCGTTTCTAATTTTCATTCATTTTGTACAAAAATATAACAATGTAGATATAACAATTCAATAAATTTTCATAAAAATGCCAAACGTAAAAAAAAACATTTTAGAATTTTCTTGAGTATACAGATTTATGCACGTTCAAGTTCAACTACATATAATACAGTGAAAAATAGAATTTGCTCATACGTTATATGGAAGAAAATGCGCAAAACTCCCGGTAAAAAAAAATATAAAAAATCAACGGTACTTTTTAGCTCATTCCGATTTGCACTTCACTTTACTAAAACTGCATACTTAAAAAAATTCTAAATTATTTAAGTTTGAAATTTTGATAAAAATTTGTTGAATTATAAAGTTTTGTATAAAGTTTCAAAATCGAATTTAAATAAATAATTTTTGTTAGAGAATATGCTATATTTTTGTAAAAAATGTATGAGTACTTATTAAATAAACAAAAGGAAAACTGTCAATACTGAGCAGCAAAAGAGGGCGCTATTCAAGTGGCTGCTTCTGCAAGTACAAAGTTAGAATATAAAATTAGAAAATTTGTAATAGCAAATCCAAAAAAAAAAAACAAATAAGTAATTGTTGAGCAAAAACAAAACCGACTTCATTTCTCATATAAAAATTTAATATTATCGTTAATTTGTTAATTTCCAAATGTATTTGGATACGATTTGCACCAAATTTTGGGCAAATGCCCAATCGTGTGCCACTGCCTTTAAAATAGTTGTTGTTATGAAGAGCTGTCGGTAAAATCAAAATTATTTGTTTTTGAAAGGAAATTGTGGTTGCTTGTTTTTTTTGCAAGTTAAGCGTAGATTTATATATTTATATACATACATATAATATGTACAGCGTGGCGACGAATAACTGTTACCCCGGTTTTTTTGAGAAATAAAAGGGTCCTTTATAGACTTTGCGAAAAAAGTATTTTATTGTTAATTTTCCACAGATTTTACTTTAGTTTTATTAATTAGTTAATAAATTTTAATCCCTATTTACATTTGCCAGCAGTTTAAACTTTGAGGGAAAAGTTCATTTGGCACGCAAGTCTTTTTCAGGTGTATTTTTTCTTAGGCTTTGTACAAACAAATACAAAAAAGAAAAAAACTGTATAAGGTTGGTCGAATGAATGGCCGTCCTAGTCACCAGTTCCGAGCCTATTCGATTTTTAAGTATGAGGCCTTATGTTGGACAAAAGGGGGAGTATAAGGGACTCAAAATGGAGAAAATTTGCCTATGGTTACAGAAGATATGGAATAAATTAACTGACGAAGACCTGCGTGCCAAATGAACTTTTCTCTCAAAGTTTACACTGCTAGCAAATGTAAATAAGGATGTGGAAAATTAACAATAAAACAGTTTTTTTCGCAAAATCTATAAAGGACCCTTTTATTTCTCAAAAAAACAGGGGTAACAGTTATTCGTTGCCACGCTGCACATACATACATACGTATAAAGAAAACACGGCTAATATAACATTTTTTCCTTTCTTTATGATACATATTTCTTCTCCACCCACCTTATATAAGAAGGAAAACCAACCCAGGAATATGCCCAAATTTAGTGTGTCCTTATTGAATATAGTCTTTCGAACGTCTAACTTGAATTGCATTATTTTCTTGAAATTCATGATCAGCCTCAAAGCCAACTGCAAACCAATACCGCCAACAAAGGGTCTGAGACCACCCATTAGCGCATAATGCCAACAATTATCACGATGCGGGCAAGAGGGATGCCTACTCTTCACCGCATCCAAGAAACGACTATAGATCTGGACGAGTACATTTATACTCCGAAAGTCAAGTGGTGAGCGAGAGCGTTGAGTATTGGCAGATGAGGACGTTGATGCAGCACTAACGGACGCTTCTGTCGCTGTCGCCGTTGCCGTCGCTGCACCCTCGCACCCCGCCTTCGCTACTACCGGACCCTCTTCTCTTTTATCCACAAAAAACCGCAAGACATTGAATAGCGAATCCTTGCAGGTGGTTTTATGCAGACCCAATCGATACAAATACAATAGCGCTGATATGCTAACGCCGAATATTAAAGTCTGTCCTTGTGGTATCGAACGCACATAACCGCGCACCTCAGCCATATTCCATATAGATTCGGTGGCCAAGTTGGCCATATACAACGCAAGCAATGGTCGACGTGCAGGTCGTTCGATAAGTATCGATGCATAGCTGGATATGAAGCTGGGCACGAAGGCAACTGTGGCGCATACATAGTGGCCAATAAGTCTACGCAGCAGGCAATTGAACAAAATAAATGTGTAACCGTTGGAGACGAGGAAGGCGGTCGATTGTATGATGCCGTGCAGGTTGCGCTTGAGATCGCCGAGCCGTGGTATGCGATGTCGCATCAGGAGTGAGAGCTGCAAGATACAAATATGTATGTAGTACATAGTTTTAAAATGTTAATCATAAACTTTTGCAACCGGCAACACTTACCGCATAAACCATTGTGTAGATACGTAAGCTATATGGTATCGCTGCAAGCAATACGCCTGCCGATGCATTCGCACAACTATCTGTCCATGGGTGAGTGAAGTCTTTGCAAGTGCACGCGACGGGCGTCAGAAAGCGGCTCAGTGCGTTCGTCATATTTGCTGTTTGCTGCAACTGCAGGAGCGCTGCTATGAGGTGTGGTCACTTAACAAATGGAAACTGTAATCAAAAAGAGAACATTTTTGCGGTTCAACGAAGCAAAAGGAGAAAAGGGCAAAGTGCATTAAGTACTTAGTTGCTGTTATTGTAAGCGACAGGGTGTTGGCGGCCATTGGTGAGGTCCGCAAGAGCTACTGGCACCACTGATTTGCAGTTCACGTACAGTAGGTTGAGTGCAATGCAGCCTAAAGATTAGGGATGGGTAAATTCGATATTCGAAGCTTGCAAATTTTTGAAATCGAACTTTGTGGTGCTAAAATTCGAATAAAACCGATTTTTCCAGAAAAATCGAATTTCGGCTTTATTTGCAAAAGAGGAACATTCTTCTTTCTAACTAAATTTGGCATCACTGTGTTTGATACCACCTTTGCCTTAGGGATGCAAGTGAAAAAAATACATCGGTGTTTTTTTCGATCTGATGCATCGCAACATTGCATCGATTTATCTTATATAAAAATATTTTCGATGCATCGAATGAATTAGCAAAAAAATGGAACAAACGAAACTTCGATAAACGTTTAAGTATTAACTCACAGTGAAATGTATTTATTCATTTAAATAGTTACACATTCCGGTTTTATAAATAATTTCATAAAAAATTTATAACATTTCAGATGTTTTATATTCAAAAACCGGTATCTAAGGCATGGTTTTGATTATGTCAACATTACTGACATCGAAAACTGCCTCAACTAACAGATGTTCATTTGGTGTCATTACATCATAAAAGCCGACCAAAAAATGTAGATATCGCAGTGCATGTCAAAGACTGTCGTCAAATTTTGGTCCGGTGATTGACATTTCTGATGAAAAATGTGAAGTGAAATTTTTTTCATAAGTCAAGAATACCAGGCGTTTAGCTATGCACAAACTCAAAATATGGCTCGATAGAACTCTTCATGCCCTATTATTTTGTTCCTTGTTTACTTAAAAGATCTCGCTTTAAAAGGGAAAATCATAAGTTGTCATTAAATGTAAGACTTTCTATTCGTTGTATAAGTATAAAGATACGTATAATATTATTTTTGTAAAGCAAGAAAAATAAATAAAAGCACATTATTCGTCCCTAAAACTTAGTTTCAATATAAATTTTGTTATATTTTTTAATTGATACCATCATGATACAATGGCTTTAAGAAGGTAATTTCACGTCTTGTTCTTATCCTCCAATTATCCGTAGCTATCTGACAGAATTCGTGTTTCATATTAATTGTGGTACCAATCAAGGCACATTAAACAGGTAGTATCAGTAGAGCAAAAACAAC